TTTATATACACACAAATGCTATATATATATATGTATGTAGTTAGCCTATAATAACATAGAAAATGATAAACATTATTTTCAAAATAGTGTTACCTTGAGGGAACAGAGATAGTACTTTAGAGAGATAGTATATTAGTCATAATACTATTCATATCCATTAATTTTACTATGGGTAATAAATACCTAAGAAAAATACTCTTCAATGTTTAAAAGTTATTGTTTATTAAAATATACGTAGTGGTGCTTTTAATACTCATAATCAATTAGAAACAGTCCCAAATATTCAAAGTGTCTAAATATATGACAACCCACAAAATATGATGATTATTAGGTAATATAATATAGATTAAGTAGTTCATATAATAGCTGGCACAGGATCATCGTTAGTTATCATCATCATTCTTACTTCTACTACTATTATTTTTATTGAAAGTAAGCACGCAAACTAGGTTGATGCGTACAAACATATAGTGGAAATACTGTTAATGGAAAAAGGAAAATACTAATTATAATGAACATATTAATTAAAACAACAAAATATATGCATGTTCATTAACAATGATTTTTAAATAATTTAGAAATTTGGTGAAACTTAATTCTTAAGCTATTCTTTCTGCTAATTTGCATATTAAAAATTAAATTATATTATCACTAACTTTTCTCAAAACCCTACATTATTTTAAGTTTCTAGTTTACTTTGCCAATAGGCATAAGCATTTTTTAAAAATTTAAGAAAATACAATTGTGACAACCAATCTCACCACTGAAGGAAATCTCCTTCATAAATGATTCATGGTTCCTGAAACTATTAAACTCTGAAAAGAAAAAAACTTTAACTGTTGCTTCTATTACATAACTGCTTACTTGACATATATATTTCTTCATCACACATTTTGTAGTTAACATGACTCTATTTACTAAAGGAAACAGCTATAAAAGCATTAGAAGAATCCAACGACTAACCAAAACTATTATGTTGTAATATTACTTTTCCCCCCAAAAAATATGTTTTTATTGATTTCAGAGAGAGGAAGGGAGAGGGAGAGAGAGACAGAAATATCAATGATGAGAGAGAATCTTTAATCGGCTGCCTCCTGTTTGGCCCCTACTGGGGACCAACCCTGCAACCCGGACATGTGCCCTGACCAGGAATCAAACCGTGACCTCCTGGATCACAGGTCAATGCTCAACCACTGAGCCACGCTGGCTGGATGTGATACTACTTTTTATCAGTACACTTTTATCCATTAATAGAAGTCAGGAAGGAAACAAATTATAGTTATTTTATACCTTCATTCCAGCACTGAATTAATCTGATATTCATTCTCATACAATGACCTGACTTGAATATTTTGCTGAGGTCAAAAATATAGCACGGCCTGTCCGGGCGTGGCTCAGCAGCTGAGCATCGACCTAGGATCCAGGAGATCAGGGTTCAGTTCCCAGTCAGGGCACATGCCCGGGTTGCGGGTTCGGTCCCCAGTCAGGGGCGTGCAGGAGGCAGCCGATCAATGACTCTTTCATCACTGATGTTTCTCTCCTTCTCTCCCCCCCTCCCTTCCTCTCTCTGAAATCAATAAAGATATATTTAAAAATATATATATAGCAAGTGCAGTGGGAAGTTTAGAGTGTATGCCAAGGGAAGAGAGAACAAAGATAGTTTTCTTCCCTCAGTTCCCTGGATTCTCCTCAGGGCAATGAACATGGGTTGTAAGGCTTATTTAGAGTCATAGCACCTGTGTTTGGTAGAAAAAGATTTTCTGTCTCCCCTCCTCTAGTCATGACTGTACCAGGTTCAAGGAACTGTGTTTATGTTTTAAACCTCTTTTATCCATCTATTTGATGTTTTCTTTAGTATCATCTATTCCAATTATTTTCTGCATATGCAGTCTACACAGGGTTGGGTGAGAAATGGTTGTATGACTATGTCCTTGAGCTAGTGAGGTGGTGATTATTGCTCATCCAGGAAGTGTCATGGCACCGTGTAATGGAGTTATCACTTTTTTCAGCTCGGGCTCAAATCAAGAACAGGCTTTCCTACCCAAGGAAGAGAAATATAACCCTTTCCATTGCTCAAGAGCAGAAACAACAGCTGGCAGAGGGGACACCCATAGGGACAGATGACTTGGACTAGAGCAACATCACCAGAGCCAATGGACATATGCCATCTCCGGATTACCATTTACATTTCTAGCCATGCAGGAATCAGAAATACTTAGCTGTTCAGGGCAAATATAGCGCTAACTAGAGATGTCTGAGAAAGACAGGTAAGGAGGCCAAATGGAGTTACATTAATACCAAGGACACACATCATTCTCATAGTTCCCGAATTCATTCTAGAAAGGACATGCCAACCATATTTTCAAGGTTTTCTCAGCTTTAGCTTTCAAAGATCAACTGGAAAAAAAAGATCTTAAGACAAAATCTTGATGAAAGAGTTAGCACCTCCTAATTTCTTGTAACTCACATGCTCTGTGTTTGCCTCGTTTCTGGGATTTGAAATTACAAAGGTTTCAATACCTCTAAACTAAGCAGAGCCTAGTTTGCTCATGTAAACTTAAACTTACTCATGTAAGGCCACAAAGAAACTAAAGTTACAATCCAAGGCTTAACCAATAAAGTAATTTTTCTATTGAATTAGTTTGGTCATGGGTCATACAGCAAGAATGACAGAGAATAACGCATACTAATTATTGATTTTGTATATTCCTGAAATATTCCAAATGACATTAGTGTCTTAAGAGTAATAAATCTCTTCAAACAACTTTTATGATAGGTTTCAAGAGTGCCTTTATTTAGGAAGTGATTCATCTAGGGTCTCTTTACCTAAAGTCATTATACCAATATAAATGGAGCTAATAAGCAAATGCTACCAAAAAATTTTCCTCAAATCATACGTTTTTTCAATGAATATGATGAGTATATTTTATATGATGAGTATATTTTTTTTACATTGAATTTTATTAATTGCACAGTAAAAATTACTAGACATGTGAATTAAGTATATATAAGTTTGCACATACAAGTATTTCATTGAAAAAGATACAAAAAATAGTTTGAATCTGAAAGGAAGGCATGATAGTTAAAATAATTTTCCAGAAAAACTCAAGGTGGAATAAGTTTCATAAAGAAAGATGTTTTTATTTATTTTAAAAATAAACTGTGGACTCTTACATAAAGAAGACACTAAATAATGACTCTACTTTATCTGACTTGCTTTTACAAATACAACCACAATTATTCTTATAGTAACTGGTGGTTAAAATCAGACTAGAATTTATTTAAATTTTGCTTATAGTGACTCAAAGTTTGGAGAATGTATGTCTCAGAACTAGGAAAAAAAAGTTGCTCTATAAGTGTCATAGTGGCCAGTTAGGAGTACTATATATACCTTGTAAATAAGAGAAGTTCTACTCAAAAGAGATTAAAGATTAGGAAAGGGGCTTTCTAAAATAAATGTTATCACTTTTCTGATTGGACAAATGATCAAATTCTCATAACATATTATGTGTTAAAGGAGTTTTTCTTTTCACTGGCAAAATAATTATGTGCATTTTGGATTTTTCTTAAGGAAAAAAGTTACACATTAGAGCCTTTATTTTGTTATCTGTATGACAGTACTTATTTTTTCTTGTTAAAATTGAAATACTTCCATTGATCATGTGTTATGTTCAAAAATTTGGAAATACATTATTTTTGTTGTTGACACTATTACAGATGTCTCCATCCTGCCCCACTTGCTTTGTCTACCTCCACCTAGCTCCTGACCCCCTTTCCCTCTGGCTATCACCACACTGCTATCTGTGTCTATGTGTTATGTATATATGTTTTTTGGCTAATTCCTTACCTTCTTGCATCCATTCCCCTCTACCTCTCTCCTAACAGCTGTCAGTAATTATAGTAAATTATTAAATTATAATGAATTTTAAGTAAAAAATATATTTTATAATTACAAAAAAAATCAATAAAGTGATTTCAGCTTTGAAAAAGAAAAATATAGTTGGACATTTTATTTTACCCCTTGAAGTAACCTAGGACAGATTTACTTCACTTAACTATTTCCTATGTTGTACACTAGAAACAGTACCAACGGAGCATAAGTAATACCACTACTAAGAATATCACTTTCTGTTAAACAACAGGAGTGTCCAGAGAATTTTTGGATAAATATAATCTTGGATTAAATGAAGTAAACAGAAAGTGTTTATACCACCAGGTCAAAAAAAAA